ACGCCCTTCTCTTAGATCAAATTGGAAGAGAAGAAGGAAGGTGGAAGAGAGAGAGGAAAAAGAAAAAAAGAGCAAAAGAAACAAAAAAAGGAAAGAATCGAAAAACAGAGTCAGACTCACAGACATACGTGATGGGACAAACAACACAGATCTAGGAAAGAAAGGAAATGGAGAGGAAAAGAGACAAAACATAAGAAAATAGAAATAAAGAAAAACGGAAACGAGAAAATCTCTTTGCCAAGCCAGGTGGCGCCCAGCCTCAAAGAGGCAGGAGCGTCTGCCTGCTGTACACACGGTCCCAGCCCTGCTTCCGGGCTGTCTCGGTCCCAAACATGGAACCCAGGCGCCAGCCTTTGGGTCCGAAGCCGGAAGGCAGGAGGGCCTCACCTGAGTAGAGGGAACCAGTGTCTGGACACTGTACGGTCCCTGTCGTCACCTGCTGGACAGATCGGGCACTGCAGTTATGCCCTGGAAATTCCACTTCCAGGTCCTGGAAACCCAAAAAAACAAACTCACTAGCAACCCCTCCTTGAGTTTCTGAGTTGCCCAGTCTCCCTTCTGAGGAGTGGCTGTTGGGTTTGAACCATCAGCCTTCTGGTTAGCAGTCAAATGCCTTAGGCATTATGTCACCAGAGCTCCCTTGGGGTCCTGGAGACTCCTGCTATCCCAGCCACACAGCCAGGTGGGTGTAAAGTTCCCATTCCTCAAAGGAGGAAATTGAAGCTCTGAGAGAGCTGGTGGCTTCCCAAGGTCACTAAGCTAGTCCAGAAGACTGCCAAAGGGCATAGGGCAGGCTCAAGACTGCTGAAGGCTCTCAGAGCGCTGAGCAGCTCTGTGGCCTGGAACAAACCAGGGTGCAGAGCAAGGGCTTAGGGGAACTTTGGCTGCAGCACGCTGTGGCATTTGTAATCCTTCTTTCTTGTATGTAATTGCCATTCAGTGATGGACACGGCCCCCTGCTCCCAGGGCACTCTCACTGGTCGGAAGAATGATAAACGCACACACACTTGAATTCAGATAAAATCATAGGGGCCAGCACACCCCACTCACCTGTAGCTTCCTGAGTGACCCCGGACCCAATCCACACCAAGCAGCTGTACCTGCATCAGCTCCATTTGCTAGTTGACAACACCGAGGCTCAGAGGTGCCTGGGGACAAACAGGACCTGACCACTGCTATCACCTTGGAGGTTCTGATATTCGTCAGATGAAGGACTGTGTCTGCCCTTTGGGGCTCCCCTGGCTGGCACAGTGACTCCATCACCGGTTCTCTCTCAGCTGTCGTCACCATGGAAACCCCAGATTCATGATCTGGACATTCAAGAGGCCACCCTTACCTAGACAGGGACACCCCCCGAGTTTGCTAACTCAGATGCCTGTGGGAGCCAGGCAGGTCTGGTAAAAGAGTACGCTGGGCCTGCGAGGGGTGCAGAGAACAGGAGCGTAGGTGGCCACCTAAAGGTGACAGCCACTCCCCAACTCCAGCCCACATGTGGCCAGGTGGGAGTTGGGGCCTATGTGACCAGAACTCCTGGTTTTTCAGGAGAAACCAGAACTTGGAAATCGGAGAGGCAATCTGCTGGTTCTTAAGTGCGCTTTATCCGCAAATTTAAAAACACTTTATTGGGAAAAACAAAAACACAACCCCAGCTGGGCATGCTGCAGCCCGCGGGCCGCCGGTTGAGGCCCTCTCGTCACCTTAACGCTCTCTTGCTCTGAGCAGCCCTCCAGGCCCCGTTTTGCATGTTGAACATTTCACATCCCTGAGGGAAGCAGGCTCAGCTCTCACCTACTTTTCTCTGAGAAGGGGTGTGATCTGCTCAAGGCTAGAGACCTGACTTTTCAGTTCCAACCAAAGCTGCCCCTCCATCTCTGTAGGGGGTTCACTTTTCTCTGCGACCCCCAGGGTGGAGGACAGGTGGGAACGGGTGCTTCCCATCAAAGTGTCCAGGAGCCCCTGGGTGGCGCCATCCATTCAGTGCTTGACTATGAGCTGAAAGGTTGGGGGTAGGAAGACGGGCCTGGCAATCTGGTTCTGCAAACCCTATGGACCGGTTTATTCTGCACACGGGTTCGCCATGGGTCGGAATCAGCTTAATGGCCACCAACACAGACACAGAGGTGCCTGCCTGAAGAAGACCCCAAGTCCCCCTGTGACCTCAAACAGAGACCAAGGTGCCAGCACTCGATTTCTCCCCGGATCCAAAGCCTGGCTGCAAATCATTCCAAACCACCAGTCTGTTGGTGCCCTCAAGGTCCCACCAGGACTCACCCTCGTCCCCTACAGCACTGAGGCTTTGGAAACCTGTCACTGAAAGATACATATCTCAGGGAGGGACCAACCAGGGGCTGGAGAGAGGGGCACTTGGGCCAGGGGAGTTTGGAGGGGAAGTGGTTAAGCGGCTCGGCCTGGAACGGAGGACTGGGGTAGGGGTGCATTGTGGCTCAGTGGGGGTCTTGAAGGTGGCCCAGGACCAATGAGGGGCCGCCAAAAGGCCCCCTGAGGGAAGCTTTCATGTTTCAGTGCTTCCCAAGGTGTGGGCAAAGAGGGAAAGAAAGGATGGGAGGAGTGGCTGGGGAGAGAGAAGGAGTGCAACTGAGAGAGAGGGAGGGAGGAAAGAGAACAGAAAAGGAGGAAGGGCAGACAGGGGAAAGGAGGCAGGCAGGCAGGGGGCAGGCCTAATGAAACAGGCCTGAAAGTCAAGGAGAAATCCAGCCACAGAATGAGGTGGCTCTGGCTGGGCAGCTTCCGTGGGGCTGCTAAGCCCAGCCAGGCAGGTGCAGACCCTGTGATATGGAGGGTGTCTGTCACTGGCTCTGCTCTGATTGACCAGTTTAGTGCTAGCCTTGATTCTGATTGGCTGAGAACCAAGCCCACCCACTGGGTGAGTATTTTGAACATCACTCTGGTCCAGATCCAAGAGGCCTTGCAGGTGAGGATGGAAGGCAACTCAGAGGCATCCTACCCCGACCCCTTGGCACCTGCAAGACCCAGGAACCCTGCATGGCACCCAGGGGAGGCAGGGAACGCCTGGGGAAACAGCAGTTACGTCTTCCAGCCATCCCAGTGAAATGGGGCTCAGAACCCAAACTGAAGTAGAAATACGGTATCAGTTCTGTCCCTTTCCTGGAATACCGAGTCTCCCGGGCCCTCTCAGGCAGTCCTCACAACTCCCCTACAAGGGAAGCAATCCTGTCCCCCACGTTACAGGGGAAAACTGACGTGCAAGGTGGTAACATCACTGGCTTAGGGACAACTGGCTGAAGGACCCTGACAGTACTGAGCCCAGCATTGTCCTCCGTGTGACCCTCAAGGTGCAAGATCATTCCACCCTTGATGCTGCCCCACACACACACCACCCAGGGTCAGCCCCAAACAAAGGAACCCAACGGATCAAGAAAACCAGAGCTTCCTTCTTTGTATTATAAACTGACTTTTAATAATAATAAAAAAATCTATCATGGATTTAAGGAGGACAATCTGTACATTGTAAAGTAAATCAGTGCACAGCGCCCTGGGCTTTGGGGCCAGCCACTCCCTTCCCTGCAGTGGGGCAGGGCTGTGCTTCTATTGATTCACGTGTGTCCGGTGACAAGGCTGCCTCTTGCAATCCAGTGCCCAGTGGCAAAAGAGGGAAGGCAGTTCCTGGGGCCCAGATGCAGGGCTTCAAGTCCTCTGGCCCCTGCCTGACCGTACACACCAGTCAAGAGGTGGCAAGCCTCCCTTCCTCCTCAGCCATGGCACATCCCCCTAGGCGTACTGAAACTGGGAGGGACACTGCTGAGGGGTCCCTGTGTGGGCCCACTGCCCAGAAGGCGGCCTGGGTGGCTTCCTGCCTCCTGGGCTGACTGGGAAGTCTGAATGCCCTGCTCTGAGAAATTAACATGAAAAACAAATAAATTACAAAAGACAGAACTGATGTTTCCCAGTGACCCTCTTCTGCCTGTGTGACAGGCACCTGAGTGCGGTGGAGTGCCAGCACCTCAAGTGGGTGGTCCAAACTCCCCCTCCCTACCAGGCTACGTCTCAAACCCTTGCAGCCAGTCCCCCGAAGAGAGCTGAGTAATTCATTTTACTATGACCCGTGCAGGAGCACTGAGGGTGGGCCGGAAAGGGGTCTTAAGTGATCCAGGAAGACCCTAATATGAAAAAAAAGGATGAAATACTGACATTTTTTGAATTTTCAATAATTTAGTTTCTCATTTTTTTTTTTAGTAGAAATGGGAAATGTCGTCACTACTACCTTATTTTGGTCCCTTGTTAGACAATACACCTTTCTGTGAAATTTAAAATGTCAAATACATGACTCACACAACCCAGAAAAAAAAAAAAATTGACAACATCAACAATTCCCGAATAAACCACAGAGATTTCAAGTCCCCTATTTAAAGTCGGAGCAATTCTGGCACCCAGGGCTGAACAGCTCCTGTTCCGACAACAGTGATGTCCAAGGCTGGTGGCTTTTGAGTGTCCTCTTGGGGACACGTGCTGTGTCCTGCCCCTCGGCCTCTCCGAGAGAGGCCCGGCTCTTCAGGGTCCACCAAGCAGGTTAGTACGGGGTTAGGGGTCGATCTGGAAGCTAAGATGAGGAGACAGGGGCCTGGAATGTGGTTGTAGAAAGAAACCAGTGGCTTCAAAAAGTGCAGGTTGATCCTCTCAAGCGCCGTGTCTGCAGGGCTCCAGCTGAGCCCACGAGTTCGCCCTGTACTCTGGAGGCTTGCGGGCAGAAGCGAGACCCTGGCTGCACCCATCAGCTCTGTGGGCACCCAGCACCCCTTCTTCTGGTAGAAGTGGGCAGCACGTGCCAGCCAGGGGCCGAACAGCTGGCTCATCCCCGAGTGGGCACAGGCTCGGTCTCGCAGAAGCAGGGGAGGAGGCTGGGGCAGCTTCCGGGCCAGCGGCAGCAGAGGCCTGGACCATCTCCTGAGGAGGCTGAGTGGCTGCCTGACCCCCAGATCCCGGCTCCAGAGCACGCAGGCCAACATGGGGCAGCTCGGGGCTCAGAGGTCTCCATCCACCGGCGGCTGGCAGAGGCGGTAGAGCCTGGGGGACGGGGGCAAACAGTAAGGAAGTGCCTGGCGGCTGGCATAAGGCTCTTAGTATTTAGTATTATTTCAACTTTTATCCACTTAATTCATGCCCAGAAAACAAAACTCAATAGGTACAAAAAGATAAACTCAATAGATACAAAAAGACACACGTCCCTGGGTGATGCAAAGGGTTTGCGCGCAGCTGGCACCCCACGAGCCGGCGGTTTAAACCCAGCAGCAGCAGCACAGAAGAAAGGCCTGAAAACCTGCTGTTACAAAGAGCACAGGCGGGAAGACCCCACGGAGCCCTTCCACTCTGCAACACAAAAACCAAAAAACAAACTCACTGCCACCAAGTCCATTCGAGTCACAGCCACCCCCTGTGGGTTTCCAAGGCAGTAAATCTTTATGGAAGTTGATTGCCCCATCTTCCTTCCGTGGAGTGGCTGGTGGGTTTGAACCGCCAACCTTCTGGTTAGCAGTCAAGTACCTTAGGCACTATGCCACCAGAGTTCCTTTCTGTAACATATGGGGTCTCCTAAATCACAGATCAACAACAGAAAGAAACGGAGTGGAAAATACTTGCTCTACCCACACTTTCCTGGGAGCAGCCCCTGGAACCCGTTTCTTCTGCTCCTTCTAGAGCTGGCTGCAGCATTTGCAAACATACACATGCAGGTGTGTGTGTTTCTGTGGCTACTATTTACATGTATATAGGTGTATGCATTTTTCCACACTCATGGCAGTAAAATACCTCTTTAAAGTGTTCAAAAGCAATGATGTCACAAAGGTGCCCCTGACCCAAGCCATGGTATTTTCAACTGTCTAATATGCACACGAAAGCTGGACAAAGAATAAGGAAGACTGAAGAACTGATGCCTTTGAATTATAGTGTTGGCAAAGAATGCTGAAAATACCACGGGCTGTCAGAGGAACAAACAAATCTGTTTTGGAAGATGTACAGCCAGAATGCTCCTCAGAAGTACGGATGGTGAGTCCCATGGACTTTGGCTGTGTTATCAGGAGAAAGACATGCTTGGCAAAGCAGAGGGTCAGCGAAAAAGGAGAAGACCCGCAACGAGATGGACTGACACAGTGGCTGCAATGATGGGCTCGCACATGACAGCGACTATGAGGGTGGCAGGACCAGGCAGCGTTGTGTCCTGCTGTACACAGGTCACTATGCACTGGACCAGCTCCGTGGTACCTAACAACAACGTCAGTGAACTAGACTCGGTGTCTGCCCCTTGCTGTCTCACTTTGTAGACCTTAGGGCTGCTTGCCTGCAGCACAAGGGGAGCCAGCCTAGGTTCCGTCAGGGCGGCACGGGGAGTGTTCAGGGCACTCCCTTCAAGCCCTAAGGGGTCATTGATGGCTCTCAAGCAGGGAAGGGAGTATCTGACCTGCTGTGGGGAGAATGGTGATTTCAGTGGCTGGGGGACTAGACAGGTGGCTGCGTGGTAACAGGAGACAACAGGCAACGTGGCCCAGGGGTTAGAAGCTTGGCTTCTAGGTCCAGGCTGCCTGTGTTCAGATCTCACCTCTGCCATTTACTAGTTGTGTGACCTTGGGCAAGACACGTAACCTCTCTGTTCCTCAGTCTCCCCTATCTGCCCACTGGGGATAACAGTCCTTTGCCTCTGTTGTTGTTAGCACAGTGCCTAAGGCACTTGACTGCTAACCAGAAGGCTAGCGGTTCAAATCCTCCAGCCACTCCTTGGAAGGAAGATGGGGCAATCTACTTCCGTAGTGATACTGCCTTTGCCCCAGTTGTTGTTTGGTGGTTATGTGCCATCGAGTCGGACCCGACTCATAGCGACCTCTCCTTGGGTTTCCGAGGCAGTTTGGATTAAATGAATTAGCATAAGTAAAGAGACTGGAACAGTGCCTAGAACCGAGTTAAGTGCCATACAAGAACTCAAAAGCACATGAAAAAACAGAGCATGTAATAACCAGTAAAGCAGAAGAGAGGTCTATGGGCAAGTTACCAGAATCGTACCGCTGGTTTTGCCAACGCACAGCAGTTACAGAAGATGTTATCTTTGGGGGCAGCTGAGGAAGGGTACACAGGGACCCTCGTTACTATTTTAGCAACTTCTTGTAAGTCCAACTATTTTGATACAGAAGTTATTTAAAAATCATGAGCAGATATGATGTCAAACTGGGGCAGTGGGGACAGAGGAGACAGAAAACGAGTTCATGTTCATACAGGGGCCCAGCACATGGTGAGGACCCTAAGAAGGGTTCAAAGCAAAATGTGGAGAAGTCACGGGGATGACAGAAGCCGATGGACTGAAGGGCCTGACAGCGGCAGTGGGCGGGCAGTGATCACACCAATCAGCGCCACATGGCTCACTTCGGGGGGCCGTCCCATCTTCCCAGCCTCAGTAGGAGCTCCGTGGGGAGACAATGCCTGAGTCTTGTCTGTCCTTCCCCAGAGCAGGGACCCCGCAAATGAGAGGTGAAGCCCCAGCTGGGCACCAGATGCTTGGCCAGGGGGATGGACCAATGAGGAGGTTGGGACCTGGATCCCAGCCTTCCTGGAAGGGAAGGATGGGGGAGGAGGGATCCAGCCTTCCTGGAGGGGAGGGGTGGGGGAGGAGGGATCCCAGCCTTCCTGGAGGGGAGGAGGGATCCCAGCCTTCCTGGAGGGGAGGAGGGATCCCAGCCTTCCTGGAGGGGAGGGGTGGGGGAGGAGGGATCCCAGCCTTCCTGGAGGGGAGGGGTGGGGGAGGAGGGATCCCAGCCTTCCTGGAGGAGAGGGGCAGGAGGGGCCCGGCCACTCACCGTGGTGCACCCGGGGGCATCTGATCCTTGACCCGGAGGTTCTTGGCCAGAATCTCCACCCTGGGGCCCTGGAAAGAGAACCGTGAGGCCAGGGCCTGCTTCGTCAGTTCAGGGCACTCAAGGGTGTGTGAGGTGGGGACAGGGGAGGGAACTAGAATGCCCTGATGCTGGCATCCTTGGCCCCCTCGACAGAGGGTCAATGTGTGGCACTGCCAGCCCCAAGGTGGGCAGTCATCCCCCCCCCCCACGGCGTCCCAGCCTGGCGTCCTGTCATCCCGCCCCTCCCTCAGAGCACCCCAGCCTGGGTGCCCCCACAGCACCTGCAGCCCCTCACCTGCTTCCGCATGATGTCTGTGGCCTGCATGATGCACTTGGGCAGCAGCCCATGGCTCCGTGCCAAGATGGCCGCCTGCTCCAGGGAGACGCTCAGGGTGCTCCTGCAGAAGGAATGGCATGGCTGGCACGGCTGGAGGCAGATCCCTGGGGGGGTGCCCTCCGTGACCCCACCCCCCACCCCCCAGAGCCTCACAGGCCCCACGGCCTCGTCTCCCCCACTCTCCTCGGCCGCACTCCTGCCTCAGGGCCTCCAGCTTACCCTCCTCCCCTCAGGTGTCTTCTCTCAGGGAGGCCTCCCCTAACTACCTCATCCTGCTCCTCTTGGTCCCTTCCCTGGCTCTTCTCTCAGCCGTCACCATTACCTCAGATAGTAGGTGTTTCCCTGACTTAATATCTGGACCACAACCAGGGACCTCTGTCTTTGGTTCTCTTTGACATTCCCAGAGTCTAGTACTTGTAGTGCTCTGTCAGGATTTGTTGAATGAATGAATGAGTGAATGACTGGAGTGACCCTGTTCATGTCTCACAACTTGTCAGCTGGGTTTCTGACGGACACATCTGTTCATCTCTTCACATCTGTTTCTGAGCATCCTAATTGGGCTCCGTAGAGTCAAATCCTGTCTCTCCATATGACTATCCTGTGAGCCTGGACAGGTGAGTTAGCCTCCATGTCTGTTTCCCTAACTATAAAATAGGGATAATATTAGCACATTGCCCCGGTGGCCTTAAGTGGTTGGCTGCTAACCGGAAGATTGGCAGTTCAAACCCACCCAGGGGCTCCACAGGAGAGAGACCTGCCAATCTGCTCTGCAAAGGTTACGACAAGGAAACCCTATGGGGCAGTGGTCCCATAGGACCACATGAGGTCCTGAGTTGGATGCAACTAACAAATGGCATTTGGGACCAGTGATGGGGGCCGTTCTGTGCACTGTGGGATGTTTAGCAGTGATTCTGGCCTGCACCCACTAGATGCCAGGAGCACACCCCCTCCCCACAGTTGTGACAACCAAAAATGTCTCCGCACATTATCAAATCTCCCCTGGGGGTAAAGTAGCAGCCCCAGCTGAGAACCCCGTAATAGCCCCTCACAGCACTGGCTTGCCTCAGGAACAAAATGAGTTAACAGAGAGGAATATTAACAAAGGGGGCTGGTCCACAGTGAGCACTCGCCTCCTTCAGACGCTGATCAACAAACGCTTATTGAGTGCCTGCTGTGTGCCAGGCACTGTTCTGCTTGCTGGGAGAGCAGAGGACAGGTATGCCCAGACCTGGCACTTCAAAGGGTGGCAGAGATTACACAGTAGACAAGTGAAGCACCATGTATGCGCCACGGTAACAGGCAGAGAGGGCGGGTGCTGGGCAGAGGCAGGGCAAACCGAAACAGGGGTGACCTCACAGAGGAGGTGCGATCCACGCCCCTGGGGAACAGCAGGGGCAAGGACAGATAGGGGACAGCGTCTATCCAGTGAGCTCCAGAACAGCAAGGGGCCAGCTCTGCCCCAAGAAAGACCAGCGACTGTCACTGCTGAACACATGCTCACAGACCCAGGCTGCACAAACTCCCACTCACCCTAACACAGAGCCCTGCTAGCACCTCCTGTGCCCATGTCACAGGTAGACAAACTGAGGTCCAGGAGGGCAAGCTCCCCTGGCTCAAAGGACAGCTGGAGAACCAGAATTTGAACCTACCTCCCTGCCTCCCTGCCCTACCCCTCCAACCGCCCCTCTCTCCCACTTGGGGCCTGGGGTCCCAGGTGCTCACCGCTGCATGCCCGTGCCACACATGACAATCTGGCAGGCCCCCAGGCGGTAGCAGAGCTCAGAGGAGATGGGGATGAGGCTGGCACCCAGGCTCCCGCCGGCCCCAGGTTTGGGGTGGACGAGGGACTTCATGAGGCGGCACAGCTCATCCAGAGCATTGATGGGGCGGATCAGCTGCGAGGCACACCCCCGACACAGTGAGGGGGGCCCACAGACACAGTGATACACCCCCAACACAGTGAGGAGGGCCCACACCCCAGACACAGTGAGGGGGGCCCACACCCCAACACAGTGAGGAGGGCCCACACCCCAGACACAGTGAGGGGGGCCCACACCCCAACACAGTGAGGAGGGCCCCACACCCCAGACACAGTGAGGGGGGCCCACACCCCAACACAGTGAGGAGGGCCCCACACCCCAGACACAGTGAGGGGGGCGCCCCACATACCCCAACACAGTGAGGAGGGCCCACAGACACAGTGATACACCCCCAACACAGTGAGGGGGGCCCCGCACCCGAGACACAGTGAAGGGGGCCCAGACCCCCAGACACAGTGAGGGGGGCCCACACCCCAACACAGTGAGGGAGGCCCCACACCCCAGACACAGTGAGGGAGGCCCCACACCCCAAGGCACAGTGAGGGGGGTGCCCCACATCCCCAGACACAGTGAAGGGAGGGCACACATCCCCACACACAGTGAGGGGGGCCCCCCACACCCCCAGACACAGGGAAGAGAGAGCACACCCCTCAGACACAGCGAGAAGGACCGCATGCCTCCCAGCCTACCCCCTGGCCCCTCTTCCATGTCTCCCTCCATCTGGCTCTGTTACTGCAGGTGTCCTCCCAGCTGACTTCTCAGAAGGTTATGGCCAATTACCCTCCACAACCCCTGTTCAGGGACCATCTATCTGTCACTCCCCACTGCCCTGTAAGCTGCCACTCAATGCCCACCATCGACCTGAGGCCTAAGCTTCCAACCTCATTCTCTTCACTTGCCCAGGTGTGCTCCCAGCTAATCCCAAACACAGCACCCTCTGCCATCTTCTCCAAATGCACTGTGATGAGCGCAAGCAGCCTGTCCCCCGAAGGAGCCTTCCTGCCCCAGCTTTTCCTGACCACCATGCAGAGGCATGATTCGCTAACACTTTCTGCCTCACAGTGGTACTTGTCAGCCAGACCACGAACTCCCACAGGGCCAGGTCCACCACTTCCCTGGGAGCCCCAGGTCCAGCACCCCAAAACAAGTGTCAAATTCTAGGCCCTGCCTGAGCCTGGGAAACCAGGATGTCAAGAGAGAAACACTGGGTAAGAGGCAGGGAACACAAATGAGTCAGGAGGAGGCACACGCCACCCCTCCCCCAGTGGCCCCCAGCACTGCTCATGCGGCTATGTGAGTCCAAGGCAGCCAGACCTCTCAATTTCTCAAGACAACCTGGAAACTTCCGTTTTTATGAGAAGCCTTTTGATTTAATCGATGGCAACTAATTCAAAACAACACTGCATTGGCTGTATCTGGCCTGGGCTCCCTACTTGGACCCACATGCAGCCCCAGACTCAAGAGAAATCCTGAGCTGAGTAAGGGAGATGAGAGAGTATGATGAGTGGCGCAAGCTTAAATAGGTTATCTGTGGAATTCCAAAGCAGGTGAGAAAGAAGCTGGAATTCCTAGAATGGGGAGAGAGTAATCCTGGGAGACTTCTTGGAGGAGGCAGTAGAAAGGCCTCAGGGGCTTCTCAGCCAGAATTGGAGCTGGGGTTCTGCCCGGCCCTGTCTGCTGAGTCCTGACCTCCAGAACTCCCAGGCCCGGTCAAGTTTCACACAGGGGTGGAGAAGGGTGGACACACCTGGTCAATCTTCACGGCAGTGGTGCTGGCGTCTGTGGGCAAGTTAGACCGTTCCAGATAAAACGCCCTGAGAGAGAAAAGCGGTGCTGAGGGTGGGCCCCAACGCCTACCATCCTCCCACTGCCCTCCCACCGGCCCAGCTTCTGCAGCCACAGCTGTTCCACACCCACTTCACTCTCTGAAAGAAATCCACCAGAGCACCTTGCACAGCTTTCCACACCCAAGGTCACCTGTTTCTCCAACAGACCCATGGGAAAAGCAAGAAGGGGCCTCCAGTCCTCTCCTAATGTCACCTCCTCCAAGAAGCCTTTCTGGATTGCCCTATCCAAAAGAGCACTCACACCACTCACTCTCCATCCTTTGTGCTGCTTTATACTCTTCCCAGCACCTCTCACCACGTCCCCTTTACAACGCTCTGTGCTTACTGGCTTACTGTTCATCTACCCCTACAGTATAAGGCTCAGCAAACTTTTTCTGTAAAGAGCCAAACACCAAATATGTTTGGCTTTGCAGATGGGCCAGATGGTCAGTATTGCAACTGCTCAACTCCATCCTTGTATCATGAGAGGAGCCACTGGCGATATGTAAATGAATGAGTGTGCTTGTGTTTCATTAAAACTTTATTTACAAAACCAAGGACTGGGTAGGATTTTGCCAACTCCTGCTAAAGAATGTTGCTGCTGTTGTTTTGTGCCCTCGAGTCAGACCTGACTCATAGCGACCCCTCCTTGGGTTTCCAAGGTGGTATCAGGGGGCTATCTGATCCCCGCTCTCTCAACTTCTCCTGGTCGCTTCTGATGGGCCGAAGCCCTGGGAGCTCATACCTGACTCACAGGGTCCAAGAATCCCAAGGTCCTGCCCTGGCTCCCACCCCCTTGCAGGAAGAAACAGGTAGGTCACTCCAGATGGGAGGGCCTGCTTTGAAGCCAAACAGACCCAGGTCCAAACCTCAGCTCTGCCACTGTCTGGCTATGTGACCCTGGGCAAGCTGTCTGGCCTGTTTCCTCTGGCAATTTGAACTGGTTCATTCTGGGTAGACCCCCTCTGTGAATTTGCATTTCTACCCCAGATAGAGGAGCTCTGGTAGCATAGTGCCTAAGGCACTTGATTGCTAACCAGAAGGCTGGCGGTTCAAACCCACCAGCCACTCCTCGGAAGGAAGATGGGGCAATCTACTTCCATAGTGATACCGCCTCAGCAACCCAGGGAGGGGTCCCTATGAGTCGGTCTGAACTCCACGGCACACAACAACAACAACACCCCCAGACAGACTGAACCAGAATCTACATTTCAAGAAAATCTGTAAGAATCACCTGGGGAGCCTGTTAAAATGCAGGTCTGACTCAGTCTATCTTGCGGTAAAACGGAAATTCTCAGCATGGGATCAAATAGGAGTGAACCAGTTGGAAGCCCTAGTTTCCTCATCTGTAGGGTAGGCTAGAACGGCCAATGGTGCAGGGCTGCTGGGAAGAGCTGGTGAGCCCCTGTAAGCAAAGGGGCTGCACACAGCAGGTGCTCAAGAATGACTGGCGGCTCCCACACTGGGGACCTTCCAAGCTAACGGCCACTCCCCAAGGCGGTTTCCGGATTCCTGCTCCTACACACATCCCAGGCAGATACCTGAGTTTTCGGTAATACTGCTGAACCTTCTCCAGGGACTGACTGTTGATCTCCTGCTGCAAATCTTCCACGGCTGGGCTGCCTGGAGGAGGCAGCACCTCCACATTCTCCAGAGCTATGAGGGGAGACGCAGGAGGACAGGGATGATGTCCTGGTGTGCTCAGCGGTCCCTGCCCCGGGGGCTCGCCCAGCCCCCCGGGGGCTCACCTTTCGTGAAGAGCACCGTGTGCAGCCGAAGGCTGGCCCCACTCTCCAGGCGGGAGGGCAACTTGGAGAAGTGGTAGCTGTCGAGGTAGAAGATGACCTTCAGTGCCTGCCGGCCACCCTCGATGTGGTAGGAGACGTTGGTGTCTGTGGGCGGACAAGGAGCAGCTGGGCGGCTCGCCACGGAGGCCAGAGGGAGCCCTGCCCACCGCTGCTGGGGCAGTTTGACTCCCTTCCCTGGGGCTCCACAGCACCTTCCTGGGACCTGCCTGTTCTCCCCACCCTAGAGGGGTAGCCTCGGACCCCCTTGTCTTCCCATCCTCAGGGGGCAACCTGGGACTTCCACGTCCACCTACCCCAAAGCCCTTGCCCTCTTCATCCCAGAGGGACAGGCTTAGACCTTGCACTCTTGCCCCAAAGGGGTAGCCTCAGACCCCTGTGCCCACCCTCAGGGGGCATCCGGGAACGTCCATGTCCTCTTACCTGAGAGGCAGCCTCAGACCTCCCTGTCCTCCCACCCTTATGGGGTAGCCTCAGCCAGCCCTGTCTTCCCACCCTCGGCAGAGCAGGCTCTGAGCTCTTTCCCGCCTACTTCATTTTCCACGACTTAACTCTGGACCTGATGTGGGTCCCACCCAGGGGAGAGTGGGCAGTCTTCAGGGCTTCCCCTGTGCTTTACTGCCTCTCAGCTGGAGGCCCAGGGCCTCTACCTGGAAAAAGCTGCCCTCCAAGCAAGACTGACACCTTATTCACACCCAAGAGAAGGACGAGCTTAGGGCAGGGCTGGTAAAATGCCTTCCTGCCCCTGTGACTCCTCTCAAACAAGTTTCCCTGCAGCCGGACAGTCTCGACCAGGCCTGCAGACAGGCAGCCTCAACCAGCCCTGAACCCAGACAGCCTCGACCAGGCCTGCAGACAGGCAGCCTCAACCAACCCTGCACCCAAGACAGTCTCAACCGGCCCTGCACCCAGACAGCCTCAACCAGTCCTGCAGACAGGCAGCTTCGACCAGCCCTGCACCGACAGCCTCAACCAGCCCTGCACCCAGACAGCCTCGACCAGGCCTGCAGATAGGCAGCCTCAATCAACCCTGCACCCAGACAGCCTCGAACAGCCCTGCAGATGGGAAGCCTCGACCAGCCTGCACCTAGACAGCCTCGAACAGCCCTGCACCCGACAACCTCAACCAGTCCTGCAGACGGGCAGCCACTCCCATCAACTGGAATTGGCTCCTGAAAAGAAACCCAATGTCCCTCCAGAGTCTAGTCCAGGATGCTACCTGAGAGGAGGAGGACAAGGAGGTCTCAGGTTACCCCTCTAGGGCCAGGGGCAAGGTCTGAGGCTATCCCTCTGAGACAAGAGTGCATTCTCAGCAGGGCAACGGGGCCCCATGAAGACGAAGAGGAGCTCTAAGGAGGGGGTGGAGGAGCCTTCATCATTTTGTAGATGAAGTGCTGATGCACATAAAGGACAGGAGCAGAGACATAGTGAACCTCATGGGGCACACGGTGATAAGGAAACAATGTCTGACAAGGCTCCTTAAGAAGTTATAATGAAAATACCACCTCTGACAAAACCCTGGTTACAGCAGTGGTGCTCAAACCAGGAATCACTGGGAAGTCTTTTCTAGAATTTCAATGCCCAGGCCCCACTCCATAAACTAAATCAGAATCTTAGGGGCTGGACGTCAGTATCTGAACAGCTACCCAGATGAATCCAATACGCAACTAGGGCTAAAACCCGCTGGACTAGACCGTGAGCTCCAGGAGAGTATAGACCACAGCCCCAGAGCCCAGCACTGTGCCTGGAACAGATTACATGCTCATAATTATGCATGTGTGGATCAGTGGGTGGATGGGTGAATGGGTGGATGGATGGATGGATGGATGGGTGGGTGGATGGGTGGGTGGACAGATGAGTGGGTGGGTGGGTGGATGAATGAGTGGGTAGGTGGATGCATGGATGGATGAGTGGATGGACAGATGAATGAATGGGTGGATGGACAGAGGACAGATAGATATTCAGACAGATGAGTAAGTGGAAGGAAGGAAGGAGAAGGGAAGGAAGGAAGGGAGAAATGAGGGAAGAAAAACTTCATTGATTACAGTGTAAGTCCCTACAAAAATCTATGTTGACCAAACTGACAACGGCAACTCAAAAGGTTGTAAGGGAAGCTTAGGGGGAAGTGAGTTTAAGATAATGGTGGAGGAAAAGGACAGTGGGAACAGTAGCACTACTTGAAGACCGGAACCAGCATCACCGAACTGCCCATGTAGAAACCATGTCTATCTTTGGCTGTGTATATTTTCACCAAAATTTAAAAAAAAAAAAAAAAAAAATACATATATATATACACACACACGTATATCAAGTCTTTACCCCAAAGAAGGATGTCTGTCTCTAGAGAGGAATTTTATAAGGAATTGGGTACAGGCTGTTCTCTTTTAAAGGATGTTGGAGATGGCTGGGTTTATTACCCCTCTTTTCCTAATGTGCCCACAGGGTTCAGCTTTGAGACTTATGTTGGGAGCATGAGGCTTGAATCTCTGGGTTCCAGGGCCCTGGGGGCAGGTTCACCGTGGGCAGCTGGCCTGGAGGCAAGGGAAGGGCAGGTGGTCCCAGAGCGATCCCTTCCATCCCAGGACCCCTGGCCTTCACGGTGAGGGTGAGAGCAATCACTCACTGGCCACGTAGTTCTCATCCAGCTGCTTAAAGGAGATGGTGACGTTGTCCAGTTCTGACAAGGTCACCCAGAGATCCTCTAGCATGGTCTGCTCCTCCTTCTGTAGGAAGAAAACAGAGAGGAGGGGTCTCAGATGTCACCCCTCCCTGGGGTTCTCATTTGGTAAAGGGAGGGTGGAGGGTGTGGTGTGCCGGCTGCCTGTCCAGGCCACCAGCAGCCGAGTATGCAGAGCAAGGCCAAGCCAGGGCTGTGCTTTCCAGGAAGCCAGTGAGCAAATCTCACCCACCAGGCAAGTGCCTGTGCACAACATCTGCCAGCAGAGGGCGCCAAGGCCACCAGACAGGTGCTGTGGCTTCCAGAAGCAGACCTGGGCTCACAGGGTGGCAGAGGAGACAACACAGACAAGCAGGTGCCTCTGCAGCCTCCACTTCTGGGGGACATCAGCTGTGGTATCGGTACCCCCAAAATGCCTCGTTCCCCAGGGCCAGCAGACCCTGCCTGTCTGAGCCCTGGGTAGGGCTGTCAAGGGAGAAAACAGGAGGGGCAGAGGAAGCAGAGCAGTCTAGAGGTGACCAGGCCCTTGGGGCAGACTGCCAGGGTTCAAATCCTGGCTCCGGGAGCCGGAGTTTTCACATCCTTGGAATGTGGGTGATGAAGGACCTGCCTCAGGACTCTTAAGTACAAGATGGGATGCTCTGAATATCACGTTTTGCCTTGTTGTTGTTATGTGCCGTCGAGTCGGCCAGCCTTCTGGTTAGCAGTCAAGTGCCTTAGGCACTATGCTACCAGAGCTCCCACATTTTGCCTGTTGTTGTTGTTACGTGCCGTCGAGTCGGACCCGACTCATAGCGACCCCCCTCCTTGGGTTTCCAAGGCATAACACTACAGAAGTAGATTGCCCCATCTTCCTTCCAGGGAGTGGCTGGTGGGTTTGAACGTTTTGCCTAGCATATACAAAAACCACCTCACACGCCCTCTGCAGCCTCTTACCCTCCCAGCAGCCAAGTGGTTCTTTAAGTATCAACCAAAAAACCCATAGCCATCGAGTTGATTTTGACTCATAGCGACCCCCATAGGGTTCTCAAGGCCATAAATCTTTATGGAAGCAGATTGCCTCATCTTCCTCCCATGGAGCAACTGGTGGGTTTGAACCACCAACTTTCTGGTTAGCAGCCAAAAGCCTTACCCACTGCGCTACCAGAGTTCCTTCTTAAGTATCAAAGGCAGATTCATTCTCAGCCCTCATCTCCCCTCACTCACTCTGTTCCAGCCATGCTGTTCCCAAACACTACAAGCAAGCTCCCACCTCAGGGCCTTTGCACCCTCTGTCTTCTCTGCCAGGAAGCCTCCTCCTCCAGTACCCTCATGGTTCACTCTCTCTCTCCTTTCAAGCCTCAGGTCATCTTCTCAGTGAGGCCTTCATTATCCAACCCCACCCCACCCCAGAACTTCCTGGTTCTGCCCTGCTTTATTCTTCCCCTCACCTCTGGTCACTACACACCACCGTTTCTCGGCCATGGCACTGCTGGTATTTGGAGCTGTCTTTCTTTACCGTGGGGCCATCCTGTGTGTGCACTGCAAGCAGCACCCCTGGCCTCTACCCACTATCAAAACTATCCTCAGACACTGCCAGGTGTCCCCTGGGGGCAAAGTGCCCCTGGTTGAGAACCACTGGTTAATACCATAAACTAAAACCAAAGGACCCCAGTGCCACCGAGTCAATTCCGACTCATAGCAACTACACAGGAGACAGTAAAACTGTCCATAGGGATTCCAAGGCTGTAAATTGTTACGAAAGCAGACTGCCACTTCTTTATTCCACAGAGTGGCTGGTGGGTTTGAACCATCAACCTTTTCTTTCTCAGCTGAGTGCTTTAACCTCCGCACCACCAGGGCTCCTTGGTTAATATGCTACGTTTCAGTTATTTGGTTGTTTGTCTTATGTTGTTCTGTTTGTTTATGTTGTTATGTTTATGTTTGTCTCCCCCGACTAGGATACAGACTCCTGGGCACAGGGCCTCTGTTTTGTTCACTGTGGATCCCAGTGCCTAGCACAGAGGCACACAGTAGGTGCTGAATAAATAGCAGCTGAATGAATGAATGAGTGAATGACTGCTGGAGTGAGTGACTGCCCGAGTGAGGAGGAGAGCCTCCTGTGTGTGCCTTGCCTGCGGCAGGCACAGCAGCTGGGCCAGCGAGGACCCCCACTCCTCTCTCCCTTCCCCCGTCCTCACTCACCTCTGTGGCCGGGGAAAGCAGGGACTGGCAGTGCAGCAGGACACCCGTGGCCGCCACCTGCTCCAGCCACTTGCGGCTGGCATCACGGCTGCTCTCCTCGTACTCGCCGTTGTTGTTGTAGCGGTAGCTCAGGGCTGCCAGGAGCTGCTCAGAGAAGGTACACAGGGCCGCCACCAGGGCCTGGCAGAAGATGGCATCCCTCCGCAGCTGCAGCTCTGTGTCTGGAAGCAGAGTGGGCAGGGGCCTCGCTGGCTGTGCGCTCAGTGGAGCCATGGAGCAGGCCCGCCCCCAAAGGCCTCAGAGCCTGGGCCAGAGCCCACCTCCCATGGACCACCCATCAAGCACCACTTTTGCCAAAAGGTAATTCCCTGGACATCTCAAGCACCAAAAGCCAATCCCATAAAATGTAATTCTCCAAAAGCTAACATGCCTAAAAGCACAATTCTCTCAATGACCCATTCTCCTATCATGGGGGAAAAAAAAAGACAAAACAGCTTGTGGTTGCTCTCTGAAGGCTTTCCCCAAACCCTCTGCCCTCAGTGGTCCTGTTTGTTAAGGGTGTCCTGGCCTTTGCTGGCTGGATGCCAAGCCCAGACATGGATGAGGAGGCATTTTAAGAACTGCCGCTCACTGTTTCCTCTGTTTGTGAGAACACATGCTCTCTTCTTTCCTCTGCTCTTGACCCTGGGTATAGAACTGGCTGGTGTGGTCGGTCATTCAGGGTGCCAATTTCTAGAAATAATTATGACTGGCTCTGGCAAACAGGTTTTCAGTGACGAATTCTGACCTAGAGCCCCTTTTGGCATCCCCAGACTGGGAAGGGAAGGACCAGACATGTCTCCAAGACGTCCCCAGCCCCACGTCAGTCCTCTTCTATTTCCCATGATCTGGTGACTTGACAGTCCCCAGGCCAGGGCTCTGCTGACAGTGTTGTTGTTATTGCCGTTGTTTGCCATTGAGCCAATTGAGACTCAGAGAGACCCCACGGGACAGAGCAGAACTGCCCCACAGGGTTTCCTAGGCTGTGATCTTCACAGGAGCAGGTCACCAAGTCTTCCCTCCTTCTGGTTATATCTGAGTGCTTGACCACACCACCTTCCTACAGCAACAAGTCTTCTGAGTCATCAGTCCTCTACCCCTGGCCCTTGGCAAGATCTGCCCAGGCCTAGGAGGTGGCAGAGACAAGACTTATGGCTCTAGGGGCCTGGAACCTGTCCTCTGGACTCAAAAGGAGGAAGGGAGGTTCGAGTCATTCTTGGAGGGTCTAGAGGCCAAAACGTTGGTTCCCTCAAGAGCAGGCCCTGATGGACCATGGAGAAGTCAACCTCTAGGCCATGTGGCCAGCAAAGAGGGCTTCCTGGGGCTAATGGTTATGAGGATCCACTGCCAGGATGGCTTCCTGGACACCTGGGGCAGGTGTGACTCACTCAGACAGTCGTCCCTGCAAAGCCTCACCTGTGCACTTCAACAAGGCCAGGAGTAGCTGGTTCTTCCCATCTGGAAGGAGAAGAGACAGAGAACAGAGATGGGCTGAGAGGGCAACCAGAGGGGTGAGAGCCAAGCCAGGGCCCACAAAGCCCATGTGTTCTGATCCCTTTGCAGGGAAGCCCCAGACTGTACAGCTGTGCTCTAGAAGCTTCTGTTGAACGTTGAGTGAATTCCAGAACCCTCTGGACATCCAGGGAACAGAGCCCCAACTGTTAGCCATATCTATCTACATGCACAAGTCAAACAGCAGCTAAGACAAGTACCTTCAACTCCTGGGCCAAGGCCTCCTGCCCTGCGCCTTGTGCACACACGTGTGGGCACACACATACACAGGTATAAACACACACAGCTACATACACGTTTACAGACACAGACAGGTACACCCACCCAGCGCTGGACACCCACACGCATACACACTCATATACACATATACTCAGACACACATACTCATACGCACACTCATGTATGTACACAAATCCTACATAGCCATTATGTAGAAAAACTCCCATTTCTTCCAGGTAGAAGCCAAACATCCTGACCTCTTTCCTTCGGAAAGATGCTCTGGACCCACTAGGGGTTTAAAAGAAAAATGTGAAAGGTCCTTTGGATTTGGCCTCTTTAGCCCCTTGGATGTCCTGGAGAGACACAGAGAACTGAGGGCTGGGCAGTGGTGGGACCAGCAGCAGCAGCAGCAGCATATACTTCCTGAGGGTGGACTATGGGCCTCCTGAGAGCTTTATTTGTATCAATTCATTTAATCCTCCTAATACCTGTGAGTGAGGTAGCACCACCAGCCCATTTTACAGATGAAGAAACCAAGGCACAGAGGAACTTGACAAGCTCACACAGCCAACAAGCGGCAGAGCTGGGATTCAAAACCTGGCATTCTGCCTCCAAAGTCCATCCTCTTGACCAACCAAACTCTTAGAAAACAAAACCAAAACAACCCACTGCCATTGAGTCAATTCTGACCCATAGCAACCTTATAGGACAGAGGAGAACTGCCCCATAGGGTTTATAGAAGCACACTGCCTCACCCTTCTCCCGCATAGTGCCTAGTGGGTTTGAACTGCTGACCTTTTGCTTAGCAGCTGAATGCTTTAACCACTGCACCACCAGAGTTCCGGTTCAGAAAACAGGATAGTTCCAAGTCTACACTGACTTCCAGCTCAGAAGCTGCTGTTCCCTGGGAGAATGGCTCAGAGAACTTGTACTTCCTGCTATCCTAGCTGAATGTCTCCTGGCCTGGGGTCCTTCTAACTCAGGTGTCCTAATCAAACGAAGAGCCCAGAACTCAAAGGCTGACGAGGGCAGGCAGATAATATAACATGCATGAAGCAGACACCAGGCTGTGGGGAGTGGTGGGGACTGGAGTGAAAAGAGCGTGAAGATGGAATCGTTCCTTTTTCCTCCACAGTAAGAGCCAAAAGCTACAAAAATCCCACATGCTACATCCTTTCCAGCCACACTGACCTTCCACGTATCGTTGAATGTTGTCCACTAGGGTCTTGATGGAGTTGGGGAGGTTCCAGGGGTCTTCCTGGATGCTGATCTGGATTAAGCTCCGGCCACGAATTGTACACTCTTCTTTCTGTTTGAACTCTGGGGTAGGAAAGTGGCATGAGGGCCAGGGAAGGGACGGAGGTAGCTTTGGGGAAGGATGGCACAAAGGTCTGTATGTCCCATCACCAAACCCCAAAGCTCAGACTCCAAGATCAAGGGCGCTGGCAGGACTCTTGAGTATTATCTGGTCCATGGAGGGCAAAAGTATGGTAAGCATGCTTCTGATTCCTAGTTCCACACCCATGGCAGACATCACTAATCAATCTCAGCACTCCTTCTGGCTAGTGAGACCATGACTCTCCACATCTTCAACCAATCTGCAGGCATTATTAATCAGTCACAGCATTGTTTTCTCTTAAGTCTGAATGTACCCATAGGTTTCTAGGGTATTACCCCCTTTTAGCCACTACCAATAGAGTAGGAACATAAGTTGTATTCTAGTCTAACCTTCTCATTACAGAGGAGGAAGTCAAGGCACAGAGAGGGAAAGTGACTTGCCTAAAGTCACTCAGCTGGCTAGTGACAAAGCTGGGGCCTGAATCTGGCCCCAGCAGGATCATTCAAAGCCACACAGATGCAGAGCCCTGTGCCTTTGGCCTCTGCCCCACTACAGGCCCCTGGTTTCTGAGGTATTTGTGGGTTTGGCTCCTCAGAGTTTAATGTTATGATGTTAACAAGTGATGGGCCCTCTGAGGTCCACTCCTTGGAAAGAGATGCTGCTGAGACAGCAGGGGACACTTGAAGTAGAGCACCCCAACTCCTCACCCCCTCTTCCTATCCTCACTGAAGGCTAACTGCCTGCCTGACTTCTTTGCTCCTGCACCCACTGGGCACCCCCTGAGATCAGAGGCAATGTCAAGTTCATTTTAGAGCCTCCAGTACCCAGTACCAGGACTGGCACAACTGGTTCTTGGGAATTTTTTACTGGATGTACATATGGATGGATCAATGAGCAGGTGGATGGGTGGGTAGGTAGAAGGAATAGATGAAGAAATGATCATTGGCAGGTGAATTGATGAATGAGTAAGTGAGGAGTACGTGGATGGATGGATGAGCAGGAAGGTGAGTAGACAGGTAAATGGGAAGAAAGACAGGTGGGAGGGAGGACACAAGAAAATTCAATTTTTTTCTCCTAAACATTTCAAGAAGGAAAGTCTCAATGTGGTGCTGGCAGGTCAGTTAACACTTTGTAACTCATCCCTCAAGCAAAGAAGCCCTGGGTAGGGAGCAGTGTTTAACAAGAGTGCAACAACATTCCCTTATTTCCATGGACTTACTGTGATCATCAATTTGTGGCACATTATACTGGTTTCCGTATATGTTGTTGTTGTTATGTGCCGTTGAGTCAGACCAGACTCATAGTGACCCCTCCTTGGGTTGCCAAGGCAGTATCACTACAAAAGTAGATTGCCCAATCTTCCTTCCGAGGAACGTCTGGTGGGTTTGAACTGCCAACCTTCTCATTAGCAGTCAAGTGCCTTAGGCACTACGCTACCAGAGCTCCTGGTTTCCATACATAGGAAGCTTTCTAAGTTTCTTTTAAATTAATTTTTCTAAAGGGAATTTCTTTCTTTAGAAAATGTCATGTCGCAAATGATATAAGTGGCCAGTGAAAGTGCTTTTTTAAAAATGTGAGGATGTTAACAGAGCCCATGAATATGCTGAACTCCCAAAGGGGGACATGTGAACGAGTGAACCTTGGCAAACTCTGCTCCTGCTCCTCCTCTCAAGTTATAGACGGGATGACCAAGGCCCAGGAGGGCTCAGGGACCAGCCTAGGACCTGGCAAACACGTTTTGTAGAAAGCCAGAGGGTAAATATTTCAGACTTAGCAGGGCATGTGGTTTCTGCTACACATTAGTCTTCATTTTTGTGAGGTTTTTTTACAACCCTTTAAAATTTTTAAAATGCATTCTTAGCTCGCAGGTCATATAAACACTGGCCATGGAGCCAGACACGGCCCCCAGGCCAAAGTTTGCTGACACCTGGAGTAACCTACAGCCGCACAGCAGGATGGGACCCAGCTAAGGTTGCGGCCAGGTGTCCTGCCTGGGTCTGGCATCCTCTTCCCAGTTGTGGGTGTCTCCTTGCTGGATGCTAGAACTTCTCCTGGCCCTGCCTGGGAACTCTTGTCTGCTCACCTTGCAAGCTGTGGTCCATGGGGAAATGCTTGGTCTCTTCAAAAGCCTTGCTCATGACTGGCCCCTTGAGGAGTGCGTTGATGGAGTCCACCTGGGTGGCAAGGAGCTCTGGTGAGTCCGGCCCTGGTGGCCCTCCAAAGTCAGGGACCTACAGCCCCTTTCCTGCCTTCTTGACAAAGACAGACCGTGTCCTGGTCCCTGGGTTCTCACCGCAGGCCATGCGAGGGGTAGGGCCAAGGTCTTACCTGGTTAAAGAGATGTTCCAGGCAACCATGAAGCTTGTCCTGCTTGTCTGACGGGATCCGCATGTCACAGGGCAGCTCGTCCCCTGGCCAAAGGAAAATGCCCCAGCCATAAGTCATTGCTGCCCCACCTTACACCTTACCAGTCTTTTTCCCAGACAGACAAAGTGGCCAGAGAATTCTAAAACTCAGGTGAGATTCTAAGTCCAACGGATCCGAGTCCTGGCTGTGTGTCAATGAACAAACCACTTAACCTCTCTGAGCTTCAGTTTCTTCAGCTGCAAAATGGGCAACAGGCTCTAAATCATTACACAATTGTAAGATATTGTTATTACTTCCATTCTGCAAATGAGGAGAGAGAGAAGGATCTCAAGTGCCCAATTCACCCCCAGCCTTTTCAGTGTAGTCAGCTGCTTCACATAAGTTCCTTCCTGAAACCTCCCAGGGACAGTGTTTGGCAGGTGAATGTCTTATGTGATGTGAAGTTTATCTAATGTTCCACGATATCTTCAATTTAGCTTCAGCTTCTTTCACTTCTGTTAAATTGAAGTTTAATTAAAAGGAAACGTTCATGCACAGACCACTTCTGGAAGGGTACACACGACAGGAACAGTGGCAGTGGGGGAACCGGGAGGCTGAGGGACAAAGAGGGGAGGAGGACCTGTCCTTGTCCACCCTTTCGAGCCTTGTGAACCATGAACCATGTGCATGTGTGGCCCAGTCACAGAAGCAGTAAGTTTAAATAAATTAAAACTTTTTACAGGCTGAAACAAACAAAACACTAAAAGAAAACAACAACAAAGAACAAAGCAAATCCAAACAAATTTCAGGCTTCCATTACAGATTGCCAGAAAAAAAAAAAAAAGCTAGTTGTTGTCATTGAGTCAATTCCAACTCACAGAGACCCTATAGGACAGAGCAGAATTGCCACATAGGGTTTCCAAGGCTGTAACTCTTTACAGGAGGAGCCCTGGTGCCACAGTGGTTATGTGCTTTGCTGCTAACCAAAGGGTAGGTGGTTGGAACCCGCTAGCCACTCCGTGGGAGAAAGATGTGGCAGTCTGCTTCTATATATGGATTTACAGCCTTGGCAAACACTGATCTATGGGTGGACAGATGGCTGGACAGGCTGAATGATCAGGTATGTATGTCTATGCAGCGGGGAGTGTGCCCATGACCATGTATAGGGTTGGCAGACAATGTTTCTACAAGTGTATTTGTATGTTCTGTAAGAATTCCCAGGCATTTCGTAGAGCAGACAAGGGACAAGGTTGTAGTCACTTCTTGGCCACAGCCAGCTACCCGGAGGGAGCAAGTAGATGGACCTGTGGGCTTGGGACCATGCTCAACTGGCATAACACATTACACAAAAACATTGTCCACATCCTACTTTGGTGAGTAGTGACTGGGATCTTAAAAGCTTGCAAGCAGCCATATAGATGCAATGATGGGTCTTCCCCTCATCCACAGCAAAAGAGAAAAAAGACAAAGATCCATGGAAACAATTATTCCAGTAACAATATGACCAGAAGAATCTACAGGACCATGAGACCAGAAGAACTAGATGGTGCCCGGCTACACTGTCAACCACTCGGAGGTGGATCTATGTGGGAGATCCTGGATAGAGTCGGAGAACAATGTGGAACAAAACTCAAAATCATTAAAAAAAAAAAAAAAAAAAACAGGTTTGCTGGTCTGATAGAGCCTGGTGGAACCCCTGAGACTAAGGCCCCAGCTGCCCTTCAAGTCTGGAATTGAACCCACTTCTGTGGCTTCCAGCCAAACAAAAGATAGGCATATGAGCTGAACATTTACATTAGATAAATATACTCCTTGGAGAGATCAATCATGGGAGAATAGAAGGGCTGTGTGTATGCAGGGAGACAGCTCAGGGGGGTGGGAGTGCATGGGAGAGAAGGACACAGGAAAGAGGTAACTATGGGGAGGAAGTGGGAGGGGAGCTGTTACATTGTGGGAAATTGCAGTCAATGTCATGAGACAAAGTGTACATGAACTGCTGTATGGAAAGTGAATTTGCTCTGTAAACTTTCACCCAAATCACAATAAAAATTAAAAGAAAAGAAAAAGCCTCGGAAACCCTATGGAGCAGTTCTCCTCTATCTTACAGGGTCACTATGATCAGAACAGACTCAACAGCAACGGATTTGGGTTTTGGGAGTGCAGTGGTAAAGCACTTGGCTGCTAACCAAGGTTGGTGGTTCAAACCCACCAGCCACTCCATGGGAGAAAGGTGTGACAGTGTGCTTCCATAAAATGGCAGCCCACAACATGCTTGGAGAACGTCAGCCCCATGAGGGTGGGAGCTTCGTCAGTTTCAGCCACAGCTGTGCTACCAGCGCCCAGCACAGGGCCTGGCCCATAGTAGATGCTCAATAAATGTCCGAGTTTTCATGAATGAGAGGACTCACTAATCCTTAAGAGATTCATTCATTTCAGTGAATGAAAGGAGATGTAGAACCAAACAAAATAAACTAGACTAAAATACTGGAAGATGGAAACAAAACTAAACTTCTCGAGGGTGGCCCGTGCCACTGGACTCACCAGACCCCATCTCGTCGCTGCCCAAGTAGGAGCTGTTACTTCTCACACTGGTGTAGGAAAGGACGGAGTCCCGGTTACTGTTACATTCACTGCAAGGGGCCAAGAGAAGGGGGCAGTCACCCTCTGGCTCACAGCCCCTGGTCCCAGGGACTGGAACCCACGTTCTGGAGCCCAGACAAAACTTTGGCCCCTTGTGTGGACAACTGGCCCAGAGAGGGTGGCACATGCTGACCAACAGCCCCGAGACGGGGAAGATAGGGCAAGTCGTTCTTCCATGTTCGACGGTGAGAGACCCAGGAAGCATGGGAGGACCGTGAGTCACTTCCGTTCTGGCGTGACTTGTGCAGATGTCCCCTAGCTCTCTCAAGGACGTCGTTCCTCTCATGGGACAGCCTGGTCCCTGGACACACCTGCACATACCATCTTCCACATACCACCTGTCTCCCCAGCTTGCTGGACACTCACTTCACAAGGACAGGGAGCATATCTTATTAGCTTATGTCCCAGGAACTCGGACGGTAGTGGGGAGTTAAAAGCCACAGTCCCGACATTTTTTTCATTTGGCCTTCTTGACAATGAAAGTGAATACTGGAAGACCCTAAAATGTCAGAATGGAAACCTGGAGAGATGCAAAAACTTTGGCCTACTGACTCGAGGCCCTGAGAACACAGAGTGATGAGTTACCAGGACACTGTGTAACACACATGCCCCAAAGGCTGGAAAATGCCAGCCAGTCAGCTCCCTTGAAGACCGGGGTGAAGGTCTTCTCACCGAATTCACATCATTTCTGTATTTTGCACCCATAAAGTTGAAGCTCCCCTCAACAGTTCACTTACCTACCACGGTCAAATGTCATATGACCTCTGTGATAGGAAATTATACTGACAGACATTGTTTATTATGGGAAATTGGGTCTACTTAATCTACTGACCTTTTTATAATTAACTTAACCAGTTCAAAAACAATTCAATTAGGAGAAGGAAGGAAAAAATACTGTTTTCCTTCTTGGATCAAGTAAAAATAAATGGTGATCCTGCCTACCCCCTCGGCCCTGAAGCCATCTGTCTTAAACTGAGTTTCAACACAAATAATGGAGTCTTGACAGACAACATTCCGTTGACGGTATGGAGTGAAACCAGAACAAAATGGACGGTATCCACCAGGGCACAGGTCCTGAAACATTAGCCTTGGGGCAGGGGAGTGGAGTTGAGTATTCTGGGGTACGCTCTGGGGGTTCAGCTAACCCCTAAGACCACAGTGCTGAGCAACAGCGCCCTGAACCCTCTGCTCCCCGTTAAGTACACTGATGCTGACTTTTGCCAGGCGTCAGTGACTTTAACTGTCCAGCTGGCCATGTGCACCCAATGCCACGCCGCCCACCTGTAGGAGTCACGGTAGCTCATGGTGTCATGGCCTGAGTCCTCCTGATCTTCCTCAGACACCTTGAAGCACACTTTCTTGATGCCGCCATGGTCCGCCCTGTCCATCTCGCTCTCTTCACTGACCAGTGGGGAGGATGAGGGCTCCTCAGACGAGGGTGGATGGCAGGACCCGCCCGAGGTGGGCTCCGTGATGGTGGACAGCAGCCTGTGGGGAGCAGAGATTCAGAGTTAAAGTCTGACCCGTGCTTTACTGGCCTCCTGGAGGCCCCAGGCAAAGCGCTTGCTTTGGGCTTCACCTTGCACCCTAAGCAGAGGGGAGCCAGCAAATGCTGGAAGATGGAAACAAAACTAAACCTCTCGAGGGTGGCCCGTGCCACTGGACTCACCAGACCCATCTCGTCGCTGCCCAAGTAGGAGCTGTTACTTCTCACACTGGTGTAGGAAAGGTGTGGTCCTTTCCTTGACAATCCTGGCAACTCCTTTGCAAATGCATCACATTTTCCCTCCTGTTGAGGGCAGGCGTGGGTGTGTGCATGTGTGTGCGCGAAGAGAGATGTGGAGGTTCTCTATTCCACGGCCAATCTGCAGAAGGCTCTGTCTACAGCATACAGCAGAGCTTGGCAAACTCTTTCCATAAAGGACCACACAGCAGTTAGTTTTGGCTTTGCAGGCCACTAAGTTTCTGCGGCAACTATACAACTTTACCTTTTAGCACAAAGCAGCCACAGGCAACATGTACTGAATGTGCATGACTGTGTTCCAATAAAACTTTATCTAAAATACAATGCAGTGGGCCAGATTTGTCTGGGGGGCCAGATTTGTCAACTCCTGCATCTGTATAGAGTGTGATGGTTAAGATCACACGTTTTGAAGCCAGACAGAGCCAGGTTCAAATCCTGATCCTGCTACTTCCTGCCTCAGAATGACTTAACCTCTCTGCAACTTGTCTTGCGGTTTCCTCATCTGTAAAATGGGGTGATGACAGTATCCATCTTGGAGGCTGCTGTTAAGATTCAGGGAGTTGAAATATGTAAAGTGCTTAGAACAGTGTCAGAAGCCTTGTAAGCAATTGATAAACCCCAGCTAGACAAAATCCCACGACATCTCAGTGAGGCCAGTATTAGAGTTAGCCCCACTGTACAGATGGGGAAACCGAGGCTCAGAGAGGTGATGTGATTTGTCTAAGGTCACATAACCAGTAAATGGCAGGGCCGGGATTCAAACCCAGGCCTCCTGGCTCCAGAGCCTACATTCTTTTCTTCTTTATCATGGACAACTTCCATCAGACACAAAAGTAGAGAGAACAGTGTCATGAGCCCCAGCCACCCAGCAATGAGCTTCATCAATGAGAACCCAGGGCCCATCCTGTTTCCTCAGCCTTCCTGCCACTTATTCTTTTTCTGGGGTATTTAAAACAAATCTAAGGTATCATATAATTTCTCCTATAAATACTTCCATATGCACCTCTAACACATAAAACTTCCTTTTAACCAATAGCTCTAATCTGGGGACAACTTCCTTCTTGCCTCCACAGGGGACATTTGGTGATGTCTGGAACAGTTCTGATTGTCATGACTGGGGAAGGGGTGACTCCTGACATCCAGCTGGTAGGAACCAAGGACGCTGCTAAATACCCTACAATGCACAGGGTGCTCCCACTACCAAGGCCCTGATTCCATGACCTAGTAGTGAGAACTAGAGCCTTGACAAGACTATGGCTCAATTTCAGTTAGCAAGAACACTTCGCAGGTGGTGCTCTGTGCATGTCCTGGTGGCGCATCATGCCAGGCGGCATGTTGGGTTGGCTGTCTTCTGTGATGTTCAAATCATCACGGTCTCCCAAAACCCTTAACCTCACAGTTTTACCCTCTATTGATATCACTGCCTAGCTCCATTCACTCATTAGAGCAGTGTTTCTCAACTCCAGGCAGTTCTCCCACCCAGGGGACAATGAACAGTGTCTGGAGACATTTTTGGTTGTCACACAGGGCAGGGGGTGGTACCATGGCAACTACTGAGTAGAGGCTAGGGATGCTGCTTAATATTCTTTGACATACAGGGCAGCCCCCACACAAAGGATGATCCACCCCAAAATGCCAAGTGTGCCACGGCTGACAAGACCAGTCCATCTCACTCTACACTCTGGGGTCCAGGGCTCACCTGTTGATCTGGGTGACGTACTGCTTCATCTCCTTCAGGGCCACATCCAGTTTTGTAAAGAGCTGCAAGTAGGCGTCCTGGATCTCACGGTCTTCCTGTTTGAGCAGGAAGCTCAGGCCCCGGTCCTCCTGGCCGAGGGCTCTGCTGGCCAGCCCGAAGATGCTATCGTTAAGACCTTGGGAGTCCCCATCCACAGCAGGCAGGCACTTCCAGGACGGGGCAGCCATGGTGGTAATACAGTGCTGGGTGTAAGACATGGGGTTCAGGTGGCCTGCAGGGGGTAGGAAGAGCTCACTCGGAAAACAGCCCCAGGACACCCACAAGCCCCTTAAACAAAGACACACAAACCCTTTTAGGAATCCCAGTGAAAGAGAAGATGGCTCCCTTTTTAATATTGTTTTAATCTACGAGGTCCTTCAAGGAGAGAGTTACAATTTGGTGCTAATATGTTTTTTTACATCTGTGATCTTTTTCTTGCCTAGAATGCAGACATGATGGCTGGTACTCTGGCAGTCACACGAGACCAAGAATAATCCCTGAGGATGGAAGCTACATGGCAATGGTGGTGGCCCAGGAAGATAACAAGAGCCTGGATCCCTGCTTTGTTGTTGTTAGTTGTCATCAAAATCAGTTCTGACTCCTGGTGACCCCTAGAGCAGAACTGTCCCACCGGGTCTTCAGGGCTGTGATCTCTGGGAAGCAGATAACCAGGTTCATCTTCCAAGAAACCCCTGGGTGGGTTTGAATTGGCAACCTTTAGCCCAGTAATCAAGCACTTAAACCTCTGGGTGGGTTTGAACTGCCAACCTTTAGGCTAGTAGTCAAGCACTTAAACATCTGCCAGCCCCCAGGGACTCCTCCCTGACGACTACAGAGCCCCAGCTCTGCCTGGACTGCTAACCTCCAGACATCTTTCTCCTTAATTATCTGTCACGTAAGTCCTAAACACAGTTTCTAACGAATGCATGCAGATACCTTGCTCTGGGTCAAGGCCAATGAGGGAGGGTTTGCGACCAAAGCGGATGCTGAAGGACCTGCCAACCGAGGGAGTGGTCTTGGGGTAGGATACTTCCATGAGGTTGATGTGACAATTAGTGGGGCAGAAGTCCAGGCCACACAGTAGGTGGGGCTCCAGGGATGCTTGTTTGAAGGGCGGGCTGACCCTGCTCTTCAGCTGGGCTGCAAACTGAGAAAGACAGGGGCCATGAGGTCATGAGTCACGCTCTGGGAATTCTGACCACCCTATCCTGGCCTAGGCCAGACACCCCAAAACCGGACAGGCTGCTCATGGCTCCAAATGGAAATGTGGATCCCCTGCACTGCCTTTGGGTGAATCCAGATTTCAGAGAAGATCCAGAGGAATCAGGCCTCTGACCACCACCTAACATTCATTTCTCCCTTTCAGTTGCACCTGAGCTGCCCCTGGGACCACATCTCCCCACCCTGAAGTCCATGCAAGGCTGGTCCCTCCCATGTCTCCAACTCCAGGGGCAGACACATGACTCAGGCCTGGGCCAGGCCACACTGATTGGTACAGAGCTCAGCAAGTAACCCACATCAGGCCTACCAGAGCCTCCCTGGGACTTCTGCTTTAACACTGGGGTTGCTAAGGCTGGGGCTACTGGGAGTCACGATGTCACCATAGTGATGACATGTCACCATGAGGAAGGGAGGCCTGCCTGAAAGTGAAACCCAAACAAAAGAAAACCAAGTCAAGAGGTGGAGAGAGGCCAAGGTCTGGTGATTTCTGTTTAAGTACCTGGATACAGCCATGCCTAAAGTTCACCCCTGCACCTTCCATTATGTAAGCCAATAAATCTTCTTGTATGCTTAAGCTGAGCTGGGTTGGGTTTTGACATTAACAACCACATACTTCAGGCCGAGACGCACTGTGTCTGAGCGTGCCTGGTAGAGCTCCCTCCCGGAAGGAGCGGGTACCTCCTGGTAGTGGGCGATCCTCTGGGTGATGCTCTCCAGCTTGGTGTCACAGATGTTGCGGAACTCGTAGTGGGGCATGGTCATGATGACACTGCTCAGGGCCATGAGCCGCCCACAGTTCTGCACGAAGACACTGTCGTCAGCAGCAAAGGCCTCGAGGATCTATGGAAACATCAACAGCTACTGAGTGCCAAGGAGAGAGGGAGGGCCCTAATCAGTTTTCATGCTTGTGGTGGTTGTTATTTGCCGTTGAGTCGGACTTGACTCATAGCGACTCCTCCTTGGGTTTCCAAGGCAGTATCACTATGGAAGTAGATTGCCCAACCTTCCTTCTGAGGAGTGGCTGGTGGGTTTAAACCACCAGCCTTCTGGGTAGTAGTCAAGTGTCTTAGGCACTATGCTATCAGAGCTCCTAGTTTACATGCAGTGACTCCTTTATGCCTCCATATGCTCCTCTGAGGTCAGGCCTAAGACTAGCCCAATTTACAGATGGGTAAACTTGAGGCTAAAAGACCAGTAAGTCACTTCACTAAGACTTATGGCTATCAAGTGGTGGAGCAGGAACTAGAAGTCAGGGATCTAGGCTAACGCTGAGCAAAGGGAATTGGGCCGCCCTCACCCTGCCCCTTTCCCCACCCCTGATAAGAGAAAGTGTGACACCTGCCCCCACGTCAGGGCAGCACCCAGGGAGACCTTGGCAGTGAGGCTGAAGCAGCCACGGGGCTCCACAATCTTCTCCAGAACATGGCACTTGACGCCTGCTGTGCTCACATACTCATAGACCACGCCGTGCTCCAGATGCACGTTGTCCACCGTCACGCTAACCGTGGGGCTGTCCTCGTGGAGGGTCAGCTGGGGACCCAGGGACTGCAGAGGGAAATCTAGAAGCCAAAGAGATAGGAGACACTGAAGTGGTTGCATCACTCCCATATCAGCCCAGGACCTCGGGCCTCAGCAGACTGCGAGCTCCCCTGTGATGGGTGGGGACCAAAGCCTTGGGAGGCAGTTCTGTTTATTTTCACGGGCTCTCGATAGCTCACTCCTGTTCTGATAACAACACCCCAAATATCCTTTAGAAATCAACCCTTGAGTCCATGTGGTTTAGGAGAGAGGTTGACTCCCACCTCCACCTCCCAGAGATGGGCAGGAGACACAGGCCTAGCCAATCAGCATATCCTGTTCCCCCTATTCAAGGTGACTGGTTCAGGAATGAGCATGGGACCCAAGCTGGGCCAGTGAGACTCACGTCTGGGACTTTTGTTAGACAGACAAAGAGACGTTCTCTGCTTTAAATGGCTTCTACCCTGCCAGAGCCACCACACAGAGAAACTCCCACCTAAGGGGAAACCAGAGCTGAGAACTGGGGAAAAGGAAAGAGAGTCCTCATGATATTGTACAAGGCACTAGATCAAACCTGACCTGAAGCGTGACTCCTCACTCATACTTTTTAGTTTGCTCAGCAATAAACTCCCTTTTTCATACAGCCCAGTTTCAGTCCTGATTAACAGGTTAGGGCCCAGAGAGGATAAGTGACTTCTCAGAGGCCACACAGCCCAGTCATGGCATACATGGGAGATAAAGCAGCCACTTCATCAGCATGAAGGGCCTTCCTTCACCCCTGTGCCAAAGAGCCACTCTCCACCCACATCACCCCTCCATGTCACCACTTATGAATTTTTTTGTTCTTGTTCTCAAGTCAGCTCCAAGAACACAGGGGCCATGTCCACCTGTTCACCTACAGATCCCCAGCTCCTACAATAGGGCCTGGCACTTAGTAGGTGCTCCTATTTGCTGCTGGCCTTCTCGGTGTGCGTTCCATTAACATTAGGGGTTTGCCGCCATGCAGGGGCCTGAGATGCTGGAAGGACAGAGCTGGGAAGCCTGGGGAACTGGGAAGGAGGTTTTGAGAGAACACTAGGAGTGTGGAACTGATGTCAGACTGGACAGACTTTAAGGCTGAAGTCAGGTGGGAGCTTGTAAGAGGCAATAGAATGGTCCCCACAAGATGCCCACATCCTAACCCCTGAAACTCATTACATCATATAGCAAGGAAGAATTTAGGCTGCAGACGGAATTAAAGTTGCCAATTAGATGAGCTTACGATCAAGAATTAGGTGGGCTCACTTAATCATTAAAAATACAAAACAACAACAACAAAAAAGTACATTGCCATCAAGCTAAGTGACCTCTCACTTCACAGGTAAGTGCTTTAACTGCTGTGGCCCTGGACCAACTTACTGCAATCTTAAGAGTCTTTAGATGGAGAAGATGGAAGAAGAAGAGTCAGAGTCAGAGAGAGGGCCATGTGAGGACTCAGGCCAACATGGCTGGTTTGGAAGGCGGAGGAAGAGGCCACCAGCCAAGAAATGAGGGCAGCCTCTAAAAACTGAGGGAGCTCTGGTGGTGCAGTGGTTAGAGCATTCAGCTGAGTAGGCGGTTCAAAACCACTAGCCACTCTGCAGGAGAAAGATGAGGCAGTCTGTTTCCTTAATGATTTATAGCTTTAAAACCCTATGGGGCATTTCTACTCTGTCCTGTGGGGTTGCTAGGAGACTGAATCAACTTGATAGCAGTGGATTTTTTTTTTTGTTTTTAGAAGCTGAAACAGTTGAGGAAACAGATTCTCCCCTACAACCTCCAGAAAGGAATGCAACCCTGCCAACACCTTGATTTTAGAGCACTCAGATCCATTTCAGAATTCTGTAAGAGAGAAAACATGTGCTGCATTGTGTCACTAAACGTGTGGTGTTTGTTACAGCAGCAGCAGGAAGCTGATACAGAGCTAATGGCACAAGAGGAACCAGATGACACAACCAGGGAGGGCACCAAGGGGACAGAGACACAGAGGGGAACCCAGACCCCCTTGTGGTCTCTCTGCTTTCGTCATGCTCCCAAAACACCCGCTGGTCCTGTCACCTGAGTCATGCTGGTCTTCCTCCTGGGGCCCCTCACCACTGGGGTCCTCTTGGCTGGCTCGTGCTTCCTGGGCATCCTCATGCGTGTGGTAGATCCACTGGTACAAGCCCTGGGAGGGGAGATGAGTGAGAGGGGTGGTCACAACCCAACAGGCCCCACAAGAAGTGGGGGAGCCAAGATTCAAACTGTACTCTGGCTCCAAAGCTCAGGCTTTAGCCTGTCTCTGTAGTGCCTAAGGCACTTGACTGCTAACCAGAAGGCTGGCAGTTCAAACCCACCAGCCACTCCTCGGAAGGAAGGGTGGGCAATCTACTTCCGTAGTGATACTGCCTTGGAAACTCAAAGAGGGGTCACTATGAGTCAGATCCAACTTGATGGCAGTGAGTTTGGTTTTTTTGGTCTGAGATGTTACTCTAGAACCTTCCAGAAGGACCCTAAGTTATACTTTGCTCACACCACCTAGAGTCTGTGCTCCACACAGAAGCCAAGGGCAGGGGAATCTTTGATAATAAGATCAGACAGCTTGGCAGGAGAAACTGCCTCTCCTGTGTCCCCAGGGTGAGAAACATGCCTGGCACACAGCAGGTGATCAACAAACATTTAAGGAATGAATGAGTATCACCTTCCACCAGAACCCTGTCCCCCAAAGCCAAGGCTAATATTGATTGCCACCATCCAAGTCCTTTCGCTTTCATCAACATGACTATTTGCTCAAAGGTCTACGTAATAAGAAAAGTGGTCTTATCACTCCCATTCACAGGATGGAAACTGAGGCCAGAAGGTATCACAGCCCAGCTCCTCCAGCTCAGGGAGGCAGAGCTAGGACAGACCCAGCAAGACCAGTCTTGCTAGGTAGGCAGCCACACCCTATCCACAACCCTGCAGTCCCTCAGACTAATTCCCAGGAAAGGGAGAATGGCCCAGGACCCCTCACCCCACCAAGCGGGGTTTCTCTGATCCCTTTGGCAGCTGAGCGACTTACCAGGGCCTCCTCTCGATGATTCCGGAATGCTTGGAAGTGCTCCAGGACCTCTGAGGCACCGTCGCCCATCAGGCTGTTGCCGTTAACCTTCAGGATGCACTGGCCAGCACAGAGCCCTGTGGCCGCAGCCTCCGAACCTGAGAAGATGGGAGAGCTTACAGCTGGGCCCAAGGTGAAGACCTGGGGCAGCAACAGGCAAGAACTGGTAGTAAAAAGATGAACACTGGGCCCCCCCACCAGACCCCTGGTCCTATTTCCATAAACACACTCAAAAACTACCCCCACCCCTCCCACAAACCCACTCAACAGACAGATCAGGGATTGTCATTCCCATTTTGCCAAAGAACAAACTGAGGTTCAGAGAAGTTAACAGCTGGTCCAAAGAAACAGAAGAGGCTGGATCTGAACTCAGATATCTACGATATCTAACCTGGTGATGCACCAGTTAAGTGCTTGGCCACCAACTGAAAGGCTGGCAGTTGAAACCTACCCAACGGCTCTAAGGAGACAGACTGAGCAATTAGCTTCTGTAAAGATGACAACCAAGGAAACACTATGGGCAGTTCGGCTCTGCTCTGTCACATGATGTCTATGTGAGTCGGAATTAACTCAACAACATCCAACAATAAGAACACATCTAATTCTAGACCTTCATCCCCTGAAAAGTCCCACAACAACGGAGATGCTGGGACCAGGATCCATAAGCACCATTTTACAGAGAAGGAAATGGAGCATCAAAGAGGCAAAGTGACTCCCCTAAGGTCACGTGGCAGGAGAAGCCCACACTGACCCCAAGCATACAGAGTCCAGTGCATGTTCTTCAGGGGCACTACGATACTCAACGCGGGCCCTGGACCCCAGGGTTTGTGTGGCTCATGCCAATGATCTGGAAATGCAAATAAATGTCAGCCTTCATCTGTATTAAGAGAACATCAGGCTGTGTAGTGTGGTGGTGACAGTTACAAACCCTGGAGCCCAGAGGCTTGGGTTCAAACCCAACTATGTGACCTGTGTCAAGTTCCTTAACCTCTCTGCACTTCAGTTTCCTCATCCATGGAATGAGGATACTAATAAAACCATGGTATTTTCAATCACTTCATATGCATGTGATAGCTGGATGATGAATAAGGAAGACTGGAGAATTAATGCCTTTGAATGACGGTGTTGGCCAAGAATGTTGAATATACCATGGACTGCCAGAAGAACAAGCAAATCTGTCCTGGAAGAAGTACAGCCAGAATGCTCCTTAGAGTGAGGGCGGCAAGCCTTTGTCTCACATACTTTGAAAATGTTATCAGGAGGGACCAGTCCCTGGAGAAAGACATCACGCTTAGAAAAGTACAGCACCCGTGAAAAAGAGGAAGATCCTCAATGAGATGCATTGACACAGTGGCTGCAACAATGCGCTCAAATGTGACAATGACTGTGAGGCTGGCACAGGACTGGACAGTGTTTCGTTCTGTTGTGTGTAAGGTCGCTGTGAGTCAGAACTGACCTGAGAGCACCTACCAACAACAGTAACATCTACTTGCAGGGTTCTTGAGAGATTTGGTGAGTTAAAACATGTAAAGCATTTAGCACCATGTCTGGTACTTAGTAAGTGCTCATTAAACATCAGCTCTTTCATTTTTCTTGCCTGTTCTCCTATAGACAGCTATTCTCGTCTATAGATGCATGAAGGCAGGGTTTTTCAGCTTGGCACGACTGACATTTTGGGACAGATGATTCTTTGCTGTAAAGAGCACTGTCCTGGGCAGTGCAGGACATTTAACAACATCCCTGGCCTCTACCTGCTAGACTCTGGTAGCAGTCCTCCCCTAGCTGTGATGGCCAAACATGTCTCCAGATATTGCTTCTGGGTGTAGAAGGGTATAAAATGACCCCTGGATGAGAACCAAGGCTTTAAGGAGAAACCAAATTAAAACCCACTTTAAAATGTTACCAAACTTTCAGTAGCTTTTTATCATGACATACATTTGCTTAATCAATAGATATTAATAGTAAAACTATGACCACAGAAGTGTACAATTAATGTTTAAAATTTAAAAAGGACGCTCAGAAGCAAAAGGGCTGGGAGCCCATTGTAGCAAACCTACTTGGTTTCATCTCTGAGAGAGACTGGCACTTCAAACAACAGGTGAGAAAAAGGGAATGCAGAAAATAAGAGGTCTCAAACTGGTGGCTCTTGTGCTGGATCTGGCCACAGATGTTGTTTTTGGGGGACCCTAAAATGGACATTTCTGGCTTCTCTTGGAAAATTAAATCTAGGAAGAGTGGGCCCACATTCCTGCCTGGCACAAATGAGCTTGAGCTAAAGAGCAACCAATCCTTTAAAGAAAACATGCGCTTTTTCACATTACCACAGACCTCCCCACTCCCTACTGTATTCCATTCAAATCATGTTACCCATTATTTTCTTTGCTTAAAGGACTGCACTTGCAAGCCCTGGCTTCAAGCAAAGGAAATAAAGTGCTAATGGTGCACTATCGGGCAGAAACTTGGTAGTAATGGTTTGGGTTCTCTGGACTCCTACTGGGAGATGGAAGCCAGATGGGTCCTCCAAAGCTCCCTTGTCTCTTTCCCACTTACCTCTGCCCACAGCGTAGATGTATGGCGGGTCAGCCCCACGGATCTGGAAGCACAGTGCCTCTGGCTGATCGGGTACTTTGATGACCCTGCACAGGCAGAAGCAGCAGGGGAAAAACCGTAAGAAAAAGTAGCATCTCTCTCAACAGCCCCAGGGGACCACCATGGGGAGTCCCTTGCCTCAGAGACTTTTGGAAAATCCAACCCAAAATAGTAGCAGCATCAGACTTTCTAGTTTCCAAATATCTGGAAAAACTGCAATTAACCAGAAGGCATGCCACCAGGGCCCTCAATTAACCGGAACCACTGCCCTGCCCTTGGTGACTGCATCCACACACATTATAGTTTTCTCCTCACCCTCCTACATCTTCTCCATCACTCTCTTGCTCTAAGGCTTCTTGGCAGCCAGACCAGCACCTCAGCCAGTCAATATTTTCTTCAAGAATCACAGATGGAAACTCCAGACAAAAAAAAGTCCCGGCCCAGATGGCTTTACTGGAGAATTTTACCAAACATTTAGAGAAGTGCGAACACTAATTCTACTCAAACTGTTCCAAAACACAGTAAAGAAAGAACACTCTTCAGCTCATTCTATGACACCAGCAACACCCTGATATCAAAACCAGGCAAACATGCCACAAAAAAGAAAATTACAGACCATTCTCTGTCATGAATTTGGTGCAAAAATTCTCAACTAACTTCTGTTGTTGTTGTTGTTGTTGTTACTTGCCGTGTCGGCCCCGACTCATAGCGACCCCTCCTTGGGTTTCCGAGGCAGTATCACTACGGAAGTAGGATTGCCCAACCTTCCTTCCGAGGAGTGGCTG